ATCGAACCCGGCCTGTGACCCGACCACGAGTTCGCCTCTTGTTTCACTACCTGCCCGCCTACACGTTGCCAACCCGGTCTGCCTGACTTCGAGTTCCCTCTGTCTGCCTCCCTGCTGTGTGTTTATACTGCATTACGCAGCAAGCGGCCAAACGGACTTCCACCTAGCACCCAAGTCTTCATTCCGGCACTCGTGCCCTGCTGTGCCCCAGAGTACCTGTGTTCACTATCAGGCTTTCTGGGACCAGAGTTGCAAGAGAGAGGCCGCCCTCGTCATCTCAAGCTCCAGCAGGTACGTGACAGAGACAATACAGACAACTCTCTTGCTACCTGACTTTAGTATCATTGACAGTAGGAAGTTCGACAAGGGGCCCCATCAAAATTTAGCTATGGGTCCCCATGATCTACAGTTACGCCCCTGGTAATGATCCTAGTAGCACATTATGTAGTCGTTGCTGATGACTCACCTGTAAGAAGACAGAAAAAACAAAACATATGACAGAAGATCCTCCATCTTGTTTTGGCTTGTAGAGATGAGCTGGTCTCCCGTGTTCCTGTGATATATGTTGCAGATCTATGAAGCGAGGTCTACTGAGGCAGCTGAGAGGACAATGCACCAAGCCCCAAATGAAGGTTGGTTACGTGCTGTATCTGGGTCATGTTCCATTTCAGCTCTGAATGCTGAGAGCTCAGACCAATGAACAGACCACAGATGCGTGACACCTGTACAGAGAAGAAAGGAAATGGTCAGCTTTAAGATTAACACTAACCAGATAGAATTTTCAGAATTGCGTTCTAGTCCGGGAAGGCACACTTCAAATTTCATTTTAAAATAGTTTCCTGCAAAGGGGGTGTGAGCAGCATGCCGGGACTGATAACAATTATTGTATGTACCCGCAGTATGTAAACGGTTTTATCTGACAGAATATTTGTCATTCTGTACGGTGCATCCAAACCAAACACATAAATCTAATAACCATTTGACTCGGTGCCAACAAAAAGTGTAATATTATAGCTATAGACGTTATTAGGTACATCTGTTCAACTCAAATATCTAATCAGCCAATCACATGGCTGCAACTCCATGCATTTAGGGATGCAAAATGGTGGAGACGATCTGCTGTTCAAACTGAGCATCAGAATGGGGAAGAAAGGTGAGTTAAAGGAGAACTATGGGGTCAGGGCTGTTCCCCATAGCGTCCTCCCGTCACCCAAAGCTCAGTATATAGGGAGCTACAGCTCGCTGTATACTGAGACGTCGCCGCTGGGACGGATCCCGACAATTATGTCTGGATCCGCCCAGCTGCGTGAGTGACAGCTGGCTCCTCCTATCTAGAGGCAGAGCCAGCTGTACCCGCCCCCTCCCCCGTCCGTTCCGCCAGTCAACGCTGGAGGATCGGAATGGGGAGGGGGGGGATCCCTGAGGGGAGCGGTGAGTGACACTCACTGCTCTCTGCAGTGACAGGATCGAGAAGTGAGCGAACGCCGGTATGTGTTCTCTCACTTCCCGATCTACTGAGCCGACCTGTGACAGTCTCATTGTCACAGGTCGGCTCAGATTATGAGGCTGAGGGAGAATCACTCGCCTCATAGTTCTCCTTTAAGTGACTCTGAACGTGGTATGGTTGTTGGTGCCAGAAGGGTTGGTTCAGAAACTGCTGATCTCCTGGGATTTTCACACACAACCATCTCTGGTCAGAGAGAATTTCCAGTCAGGGGCAGCTCTCTGGGCAAGAATACCTTGTTGATGTCAGAGGTCAGAGGAGAATGGGGAGCTGATAGAAAGGCAACAGTAATGCATATAAGCACTTGTTGCACCCGAGGTATGCAGAATACCATCTCTGAATGCATTACACATCCAACCTGGAATCAGATGGGCTACAGAAGACCACACCGAGTACCACTCCTGTCAGCTAAGAACAGGAAACGGAGGCTACAATTCACAAGGGCTCACCAAAATTGTAAAATATAAGATTGGAAGAACGTTGCCTGGTCTGAGGAGTCTCCATTTCTTCTGCTTAATTTATGCCAAATATCGTTTTAGTAAACTGTAAGCTCTTGGGGACAGGGTCTCTTTATACCTCTAGACTGTAAGCTCCTGGAGACAGGGTCTCTTTATACCGCTAGACTGTAAGCTCCTGGGGACAGGGTCTCTTTATACCGCTAGACTGTAAGCTCCTGGGGACAGGGTCTCTTTATACCGCTAGACTGTAAGCTCCTGGGGACAGGGTCTCACTATATCTCTAGAGTGTAAGTTCCTGGGGACAGGGTCTCACTATATCTCTAGAGTGTAAGTTCCTGGGGACAGGGTCTCATTACACCTCTAGACTGTAAGCTCCTGGGGACAGGGTCTCATTACACCCCTAGACTGTAAGCTCCTGGGGACAGAGTCTCTTTATACCTCTAGACTGTAAGCTCCTGGGGATAGGGTCTCACTATACCTCTAGACTGTAAGCTCCTGGGGTCAGGGTCTCATTATACCTCTGTAAGCTCCTGGGGACAGGGTCTCACTATACCTCTAGAGTGCAAGCTCCTGGGGACAGGGTCTCACTATATCTCTAGACTGTAAGCTCCTGGGGACAGTGTCTCATTATACCTCTAGACTGTAAGCTCCTGGGGTCAGGGTCTCATTATACCTCTGTAAGCTCCTGGGGTCAGGGTCTCATTATACCTCTGTAAGCTCCTGGGGTCAGGGTCTCATTATACCTCTGTAAGCTCCTGGGGTCAGGGTCTCATTATACCTCTGTAAGCTCCTGGGGTCAGGGTCTCATTATACCTCTGTAAGCTCCTGGGGTCAGGGTCTCATTATACCTCTGTAAGCTCCTGGGGTCAGGGTCTCATTATACCTCTGTAAGCTCCTGGGGTCAGGGTCTCATTATACCTCTGTAAGCTCCTGGGGTCAGGGTCTCATTATACCTCTGTAAGCTCCTGGGGTCAGGGTCTCATTATACCTCTGTAAGCTCCTGGGGTCAGGGTCTCATTATACCTCTGTAAGCTCCTGGGGTCAGGGTCTCATTATACCTCTGTAAGCTCCTGGGGTCAGGGTCTCATTATACCTCTGTAAGCTCCTGGGGTCAGGGTCTCATTATACCTCTGTAAGCTCCTGGGGTCAGGGTCTCATTATACCTCTGTAAGCTCCTGGGGTCAGGGTCTCATTATACCTCTGTAAGCTCCTGGGGTCAGGGTCTCATTATACCTCTGTAAGCTCCTGGGGTCAGGGTCTCATTATACCTCTGTAAGCTCCTGGGGTCAGGGTCTCATTATACCTCTGTAAGCTCCTGGGGTCAGGGTCTCATTATACCTCTGTAAGCTCCTGGGGTCAGGGTCTCATTATACCTCTGTAAGCTCCTGGGGACAGGGTCTCACTATATCTCTAGAGTGTAAGCTCCTGGGGACAGGATCTCACTATATCTCTAGAGTGTAAGTTCCTGGGGACAGGGTCTCACTATATCTCTAGACTGTAAGCTCCTGGGGACAGTGTCTCATTACACCTCTAGACTGTAAGCTCCTGGGGACAGGGTCTCATTACACGTATAGACTGTAAGCTCCTGGGGACAGGGTCTGACTATACCTTGTAACAGGAACCATTCCTAAGCACGGTCTTTTAGGGCAAATACAGCATTGGAGAGTCCACTTGGTTTTCAAAAGCTTTATTTCCGCAGCGCACAGAGAACAGGTCGATCCGCATTCATGAAATACAATCCTTTCCTTGCCGCAAAACACAAATCTTCGCACCGCTTGTCAGAACTTTCCTGTATCCAGTGTGATCTCCAAAATAATGTCCTTTTCACCAACAGACCAGCACCACAGTCTTCAGTCCTCCAGCTCACCTAGCTAGGTAAGAGTCTGACACACAATCATGGGCTACACCTGTGATTACCAAGCGGCAACCACAAAACCTGGACTGGACAGCTCGCCTAGCTGATGGGATGATGGCCGCCCCTTCCCTCCATTATCCCGACCCCAGGGACCCAGAACACAATTTATAAATTGCACAACCAAAGCACGCACTCCATCCCTGGGGGTTCAACTGAGAGGAGGGATGCAATCTAAAAGGTCTGGACTTACATACCTCCCATTTATAACCAGGCCTTGCTTCCTGGCACAACCTCTAGACGGCAAGCTCCTGGGGACAGGGTCTCCCCTATACCTCCAGACTGTAAGCTCCTGGGGACAGGGTCTCATTACACCTCTAGAGTGTAAGCTCCTGGGGACAGGGTCTCATTATACGTATAGACTGTAAGCTCCTGGGGACGGGGTCTCCCATATACATCCAGACTGTAAGCTCCTGGGGACATGGTCTCCCCTATACCTCCAGAGTCTAAGCGCCTGGGGACAGGGTCTCATTATACCTCTAGACTGTAAGCGCCTGGGGACAGAGTCTCATTATACCTCTAGACTGTAAGCTCCTGGGGACAGGGTCTCCCCTATACCTCCAGACTGTAAGCTCCTGGGGACAGGGTCTCATTACACCTCTAGAGTGTAAGCTCCTGGGGACAGGGTCTCATTATACGTATAGACTGTAAGCTCCTGGGGACGGGGTCTCCCATATACATCCAGACTGTAAGCTCCTGGGGACATGGTCTCCCCTATACCTCCAGAGTCTAAGCGCCTGGGGACAGGGTCTCATTATACCTCTAGACTGTAAGCGCCTGGGGACAGAGTCTCATTATACCTCTAGACTGTAAGCTCCTGGGGACAGGGTCTCCCCTATACCTCCAGACTGTAAGCTCCTGGGGACAGGGTCTCATTACACCTCTCGACTGTAAGCTCCTGGGGACAGGGTCTCATTACACCTCCAGACTGTAAGCTCCTGGGGACAGGGTCTCATTATAAACCTAGCCTGTAAATTTGGCTGTGATTGTATCTCTTCCCATTCTGTCGGGGGATGGTGCCTGTGTTGCCGCAATCCTGGTGCGACGTGCAGCTCTCTTTGTGTGACCGTCTCAGTGCTCTGCATGTTTCCTAACTGGTGTGCGTTCCTTGCAGGCGTTCCCTGCCATGACACTGACCCCCCCGAACAGTAATGATGCGTGCCTGAGCATTGTTCACAGTCTGATGTGCCATCGGCAGGGAGGGGAAAATGAAGGCTTTGCCAAGCGAGCTATCGAGAGTCTTGTGAAGAAGCTGAAGGAGAAGAAGGATGAGCTGGACTCGCTCATCACTGCCATCACCACCAACGGCGCTCACCCCAGCAAATGCGTCACCATGCAACGTACACTGGACGGGCGGCTACAGGTAGGTGGCTGCGTGGTGTCGGAGGGGTTAATGGTGGTGGGGGGGATGGTTTATCGTTGTCTATACTGGGATGTGTGATCAGCACTGGACCATCTCCACTAATGACTCTCTCTGAGGAGGGCATCACACCAGAAACAGTGCGTTCCATGTATCGCATTCTGGCCGGCTTCCTGCGTTCAGAGCGGGAGGGGGCGTGTCGGTGTATTGAAGTCAATGGCACTGCAGCTATGTCCTCCTACACCCAAAT